TTTAAGGGAAAAAAAAGGTTTCATAGAGAATCAGATGAATAGAATATAGATCCACAGAGGCCAAGCACTACTTTTAGAATCTTATAATACTGTGTTACTTTTTATCACAACCCTACACACCAAAATAAAATGAAAAAGAAAGAAAAGTAACAAAAAAAATAATAAAAAAAGCAAGAATAAAAACTATGCAAAGTTTAAGTAGATTCAAATTTTCATTTTTTTCAGATAATAAAAACAATATTAAATGGAAAATAAGACAGAGAAATGCTACCATAAGTCATCTTCAATAATCTCCTGCTGACACATTCTTAGAGTAAATACATATGAAAAATATTAGTGTCCAACATAAAATTCACAATAAAGAAAAAACATTTAGGGCATTGGGGACTCATGCCTGTAATTTCAGTGCTCAGGGGGACTAAAGAGGCCAGAGGAGCCTGAAAATTTGCCAACAACTTGGGCTAAGAGTATCTACCAGGTGTGACAGACCTAGGGGCAAAGATCCTGCCTCAGACAGGAAGAGGAAGAAAGAGGAGAATTAAAAACAAAGCAAGAAAATGATTTCAGCTCAATGCTTAACGTAAAGGGTTCTTGATACCTTTGAAGGCCCATTTCCTGGTTCTTGTGATCCCTATAAAAACCAACTGTTAGGGTCAGAAAGGGAATGAAAGGTGTTTCCATCTTTTCAGTCATTCAGAAATTATGCATTGCCACAGGATCCAAAGTTTGTCCTCCAGCTCCTTTGTTAGCCTCATGACTGCAATGAGAGCTAAGCCTCGGAGGCACCGCTGTGAGGTGAGTCAGGCCTCACTTTCCTTCCTCTTGCTTTTCTAACTTCCTGGAAGCTGCAGCCTGCAGGGCCTCCTCGAGTCTGCTCAGAACCTTCATTCCCTCAGGACACAGGCCTTCTTTCTCATCCCCCTTGGCTCTGCTTAACCTGTCCTGTTCAGTCTGAGAGGTTGCTCGCATCGGCTAAGTGACAGTTATATTTATTTTGAAGGTGCAAGAAAAACCAATGGCATTAACTGTCAGAGCACTGTTTTTAATTCAGAGGCCTATTCTAATATATAATACCTGATCACTGTCCTTCTTCACACTACACATACACACACACACACACACACACACACACACACACGAGAGAGAGAGAGAAATACATCACACGCACACATCAACTCACACTTTCTGTAATGCAAAGCATTAAGTGCATCTGAAAGTGGTGTTTCAGTCTAGATGATAGATAAAAATAAGGAGGGTAGTCAGATTTATTTGTTTTCTTAACTGAAGTGTGATATCACTCACAAGATACTGTACCAAAACAAGGTACAAAAACTTTCTTCCCCTTAACTCTTTTTCTAGCAGATGCACATGTCAAAACACATTTCCTAATCTTATGAAGAACACATGAATTCAACTATAATCACTATTCTCTTAGCCGATACACTCTATTTATCTAAAAATTTACTATGGAAATATATTGTCCAAACATAATTCAGTTGGAAGTTCATACGTAACCCCATGCTACAAACCAGAGTGTTTAATGAGGTGGGGTGACCAGCAGCTTATTCCAAAACTACCCTTATTGATTCCATTGACATTACCAATAGTCTTGAGTCCCTGAAACATAGGAGCTTCCGGAAAACAAAGTTCCTATAGGATTCAACATTGGTTTTCCATCCACAAGTAAGTGGGAATTGGGAATAGTGAAGGAAATGAGAAGCGCCTGCCTCAGTGACTATGTCGGCTCAAGTTCTGCATGGAAATCATTCATTTATTCTCTGACACATTTTTGTAATAACCTTTAATTATGAGCAGTCATGACCATATGCCATTGTTGGAGAAGCTGACCTCACAAGAATTTTAAGTTGTTGCTCCAACACCATTTTGCAACCATCAAGGAATAAGTTGACAACCAGAATCCATAATGAGTAGGATCCAAAGATTGCATTAATTAATTAATTAATTAATATTATGTTAATTAATATTAACTACGACCATTTCTCTTCAGAGAATATGTGAATCTCACTCATCATACCTCCTCTTTAAGAGGTTTCTATATCTTTAATAACATTTTGTGGTTTTTCCCATAAATCTTAGTCAAGTCTTGTGTGCTGGTTTGAAAGAAATTGTCAACTAGAAGCAACAATGGCACTACTTATTTCACAAACGGAAAGTAAATTGTCCATCCTTGTTTCAATAATTCCTGGATCCTGTGCCTTAATTTTAAATTCATCCATATGCATACCCACAACCCCAGCACTGTAGTGCAGACAGAAAGATTGCTGGCTCCTGCTGGATGCAGTAGTCCTACCATTAGAGAATAAGGCAGAACTTGATAGATCAGGGAACCCAAAGTCTTCCTCTGACCTCCACATGTAGGTGCCCAGGCTCATAAACCAGCAGGCACATGTTCACACTTAGCAGAGAAACATATACACATGGAGAAAGGAAGGGAGGGAATGAGGAGAAGGGAAGGGAAGGGATAGGAAGGAAGAAGCAGGAAGGGAGGGAGGGGGGAGGGAGAAAGGGAGGGGAAGAAGAGAGAGGAAAGGAGGGAGGAAAAATGGAAAAGGGAATGAAGGAAACTATACCTAAAGACTTCATATATCTGATTTTAAAACTGCTCTGTGAAGACTGCTTTTTAAATATTTGATACATGGTATGAACTTTGTTCACATAATTCTATCCCTTAATCACTGAATTATATTTATCTTAGAGTATTCATATAGAAAAGTGTCACCTTGAGTATTGAGGGAATTGATGTAAGACACCTAAATACGGTGTTGGTAGATCTGGTGGGAGAAGAGACAAAAAAGATGTAAGACACTGGATGGGTATACCTCTCCACATACATAAGCATGCTTCTTCTCATTGACCATTCTAAGCTCCACTCATTTCAGGGTCTTTGCATGGGATATTCCTTCTGTGTAGATCATCTTTTACAGAAACATTTATGAGAGGAATGCCCTCATTTCCTTCAGATGTTCAGATGTAACTATCTATGTGAAGGCTTCCATCATTAATTTCGGTAAAGTAACACCTTGCACATCACATTATATCCTTGTTTATTACTTGCCTCTATTATTAAAAGCAACTCTATGAAGTTCAGTACTTTAAAAATTACACAATACATAGTAGAAGCTTAATAAACATTTGTGGTGATGTCAACTAATAAGTCAACATATATGTGGGAAGGCCAAATTTAAGATGACATCAAGACAAGGCTAGCAATGCTTGTTAAAAACCAGCTAACCAAAGTTTTCCTCTGATTTTCCTAATTTCTACAGTTGAGTTGTTTGGGAGTCATTGCATACACACTAAAAGTCTTCTGGATTTGGTACTAAGGATGGCCTTATGGTCCAGGTAATTTGGTGTTCTACTTTCTTCCTTTCCAGACAAAATCATCACAGGATTACATATGCCACTATGCTGAAAGAAAGAACCATTGTATCACTACTCTCCTGGAACTAATTATGTTGATGTGATAAACTATTGACATATCAAATTGTTTACATAAAATCAACTGATTCACAGAGATTATCTTCAAATTATTCACATAGTTTCTCATGAGCTATCAAACAAGATAGTGGCTCCTTCTGTAAGCACCGTGAACTCTCAAGATCTCTCTGTTCCTATACAATGTTCACAGCACAATAGTTGCCAATTTGGCAATAGCAATGTGGATGACCTGTAGCAAGCCTCTGTTCTTTAAGTTTATATTCTATTGCCCCTTTTCAATGCCTGGTTCATACTGAATACATTTGCTAGACAGGAAAAGAAATAAAGGAAGAAAAGAAGGAGGGAAAGGAGGAGGAAAACAGAAGAATGGAGGGGTAGTAGAAAGGAAGGCAGAAGGGAGAAAGTGGCATCTTTAAGTGTGAGGACGAAGAACAGTGTATCTGTAAATAAGGCCCAGTGGTGCCAGCTGAGGTCCTCTCCCGCAAAGGCAGAGCCATGCCTATGGCAATGATATGATCATGAGACCCTACTGCAGGTGGACAGTCTTGCCTGACACAGGTCCTACTCCGGAGCGTTGTTCCTGGTTGCCTGCCTGCAGACCTTCTCACTCTACAGAGTCCTCACAAACAAGGACACCAAGGCTGGGTGAACACAAACTAACCCACACCATTTTCTCATCTCACAGGGCTTGGATGAGGGGCCAGAACACCGCTTTCTAAAAGGTTCTCTCCCGAGGCCCACAGTTTACAATTTCACTAGACACTTCTTGGAGGTGACCTTGAAACAAAATATTTGCACATGACACATTTCGCTGAAGCTACCTTTAAGAACGTGCACTACTTTTCCTCTCGTCAACCACCATATCTAACACGTCACTCACCCACTGTCTTTTTAAAACTAGAACACAGATGTAAGCAAGTCCCTGTGCTTACCACAAGGAAGGAAATTAAGGAGCGTTCTTTCAATCAGAAGCTTTTGTTGGCTTAGGTTTAAAAAAAATAAATAAATAAATAAAACGGCGAAAGTCATCAAGATACTACCTGAGAGAGGCCAGGACCTGCAAACGGTTCACAACAAGTCAGTGGAAAGAAAGACACTGAGAGACAATACAGGCAGCTTTCAAAGTCCGTGTTCCAGGGTCAGAATTAGAACTCAGCTAGGTCACCACGTCACACCTAGTGGAGTGAGCATACGATTTTTAGAAGCCGATTCGGACACGCCTGATATTTAGAGATCCACACTGGGCCACGGGGCCTTTAGGAATGGAGCTCCGAGCTCAGTCTGGCCACTCTAAACTGGGGCCACTTGTATCACGGCTTTTTCCATGAGGAATTTAAGGGGTGTGAGTGCATCCTTTCCAACCCTGCATTCCACATGTGACAAAACTGATCCAGCTGTTTGTCTGAAAGAAATTCCTTGCTGTCCTTAAAAATTAAAAAGCAAGTGAATATCCGTTCTCCAGGGGCAAGCCTCCAGCTGGAGCCTGGTAGAGCAGTTGCGAAACAGCGTGCTCCGAAGGGCATCTGCTCTCGAATTCTTACCTCGCCATAGGGGGGTTAGCCCCATCTTGCTTTTTGAAATGGCAGATTCTGGATGCAAGGTGCTGGCTTGGCCCAAAGCTCTTGAGAAGTGTTCATCCACTACTGACCCAATGTCTCCCTGGAAATAAGTGAAAAGGACACAGCGAGAGTTAAGGTACTCCATCTCGGCAGGCTGGTCTTTCTCCTCCTCCTCCTCCTCATCCTCCTCCTCCTCATCCTCCTCTTGTTTGCTGGGAAGCGTGACTTCCAGAGAGTCCTGCATCTTGCTGTATACCGCTAACTTCTTCTGGGATAGAATAAACAAAACATAGTATCAAAGACAGTTTGTGGAAAAGCGTTAACTAGTTAACTTTTCACTTTAAAAAAGAATCTAAATATTAACATATGTTTGCAAACTGATTCTCCATCATCTGCTGTATTCCATCTTTTCCCTCCCCAAACCAGTTGCCTCCCTCCCACACTAAGAAAAAAAGTCTGTTATTCCAAAATTGGCAAAGAAAGGGGACTATTATCAAATTGTATAATTTTCAGCATGTCAGATATTTTTTCCTTTTTTTTTTTTTTTTTTTTTTTTTTTTTTTTGCTTTTGCTTTTGTTTTAAACCCAGCTACACTAAATGAGTGACTTTTAAAAAAGGTGACAGATCCTTTCCAGATTTTTTTTAATGCTCAATTTTTACTTATATTTAAAAACTTAACGTACAGTGACGTTCTACTTTAGGACAGTGGAGGAGATGTAAGAACTAACTGTCCAGGGCAGGGTGGAGATGAAAGAACAATTTTCATAAATGAAATAAACTAAAAGAAAAGCAGGAATGCACCATCTTGTAAAAGGATTTGGCAGATGTGCTGAGCTCATTTCTCAAAAATCAAACAGAAATGACAGGGTAAGTCTGTGTGACGATCCATTTTACACGGACCATGTTTTTCGTATGTTCCACTCCCCATTATTATCATAGAGGGGGAGAAAGAGTTTACTGTGGCTTACTACACATAAAACAAAATACTAGCAAGGATTAACTCTTCAAATAAAAATAAGCAGAGTTTGATATCTTAAGATATTTCCACATGCGGGCGTACCTACAGTAATCAATAATATATATCATCCAAGGGTCTTTCCTAATGCCTCACACATATGACCTGAGTTGATTTTTACACTCCTACAACATGGTTAGGGTTGCTGTGTGTACCTTAAACTCAGGAATGGAGAAGTTAAGTGAGCTGCCAACCATCACAAAGTATATGACTGACAAAACAATGCACAGGAAAGTAGGCAAGTATACAGCCATATTGGGAGTTAAGGAAGCAATATATACTCAAGGGGAAAAGTCACCAAGTAATTATGATCAATGTTGTCTGACTGAATGGAAATTTGGTAGCTGCCTGTTATTTTTTTCCCACCTGCTTTTCAACCTTTCCAAACATTTTCAGTGAACATGTATGACTTAAAGATTACCAACAACTTCACTATGGATGATATGTATGAATACATTCCTGGTGGCCACATAAACATTCCGGAAATATGAATAGCATAACAGCAAAATTCAATTTCTTATCAAATCATTTTTCTTATTTCAGGAGAAATTATGCATGCTGGCAAAGTGAACATGAATAGCAACAACAGATAATTCCAGAATCCTCAGTAGTTTTGCATATGTTAGCAACATATAACTCAGATTTTATGTGTCTAATGTAATCATTGGTTTGGAAATTAATAACCACCAATTGTAGGTGCATCTTCAATTAATCATTTTCTTCTAGCAACAAATATATTGATCTTACTCTAGGTGATTCCTGAAATAGGCATAAGATGAGGGGGTGATTATTATTTGGGAAATATTAGTTACAAATATATATGGCATTTTAATGTAAAATTCACATTAATGTGGTTAGTATTTTCTTATGGATAGATAATTTATTTCAAGTGAATACATGTGCCTTATCGATGAATAGGTAGTTATAATTCTGCCTGGTTATATTTCTTACGATCTGGTTTTGTTCAAATTTGACTTGAAAAGTAAAACTACATTACAGTAGGTTATGCAGCATACAGGAATTTAGTTCAATGCCTTCTAGTTTTAAATTTCATTATAAAATTAAACAAATATTATGATTTACTGATCAAATCACAAAGTTCTATTTTTCTGGGTGCACTTATATTTACTAAAAGCCAGCACGGTTACAGCTATGTATAACTCTGTCCTTCCTGTTCTGGTTTATTTGAAATAACACTTTTATAGTGAAAGGAAAATAAAACTGATCCACAGAGCAATTTCTCTGTTCAGAGTGTTCACTGTCACCCATGAAACTGATTAACCTTTCCTGTCACTGTCCTTCACAGGGTTAGTCTGTGAGTGGGTGCTTTGCACATACCTCTTCCATTTCTTTATTGTTAGAATTATGTTAATTAGCCAAATAAAGGAAAGGGATTGTTTCACTGTGAGGTACCAGCAATTACCTCTGACATGAAATAAATTAAATACAAGCAGAATATTAAAAAGCTGTCAGACATAAATGAAAAAAAAGCCTTTGTAATAAGTGATGACAATCAAAAACTATCTCAAGATCAACTGCTAGCAGCTGGATTTAAACTATAGATTTTCAATCTAAGGTTTCACAGCTTTGTAAATGCTGCATAATTCATGTATTTTTTTCCTACCAACTATAGCTACCTACAAACAAATTAATATTTAAAATCTCATACTTATCCATGGGCAATTAGGCAGAAGTAAGCTAAGAATTATGTCAAAATAACCATCATTCATTTGTCAATGCACTCATTAATCAATTCTCTCCATTTTTACATTTCATACAGAAACAACGTATCTCTGCTTGTATAACTATGCATGACAAAAGATCTCTTTTTGACACTGTGGAAACTTGTACTTCAATCAAAAGTGATCGTATGATCTACCAACAACAGGACATACAAATGTTTATAATTCTACTTGTAGTTTCCCCCATATTTTACTCAAACTTTCATACTCTGTAATGAAACTATTTGAATATTTACACTTCTGACACATATTTAGTCTCAAGATATTCCTGCTTAAAGAAAGAGTTTCAAAATATATATATGTGGTGTGATAATTACAAAAACTGCTTCGTCTGACTTTGCATAAGTGTTGTAACTTAAATGACAGCAAGAAGGAAACAGAAGCACCTCATTTAAGCATTATTTGGCATATATGCTAGCGTTACAACACCTAATTCCTCATACTCGAGCGCCAACCACTTTCTGATACCCAAGGTTTGTGCCTCTTCTCTTAGAACATATTCCTCAGTGCACTGCAGCTATATTCTATTTGCACTCAGTCTTTATTCTCGCATGCTATTTCTCCTAGTGATATGTCATATAAACAAATCTTAAAGTTGAGATGAAATCTCAAAGCGTCAAAACATGGATTTACAGAATCAAGGTCAAAATGTCGCCTAGTTTGTATATTTTTCAAGAATACAATAACTTCCTACAATATATGCAAATATCTGGTAAGTATCTGTACGCGTCTTCCAAGAGATTGTGAAGAACTGTTACAGACCAGGCTGGAGAGAGAGCTTGGTGAGTAAACACTAGCCAAATAAGCATGAAGAGCTGAGTTTGGATTCCCCAGTGCCTGTGTAAAATCTGGGTGGGTTTAGTAATGAGTTTATAATCCCAGCACCAGGGAGGCAGTTACAGATCTTTGGAGCAAGCTGGCTGGACTAGAACAGCCAGATGGCAAACACGTGAGCCCTGGTTCATGCAATAGACCCTATCTCACCGTTTAAGGTGGACAGTAATGGAGGAAGACACTCAGATCCAACTTCTAACCTCCACACACACTTATGCATACATACAAGTGCCCACTTACACACATAATTCGAACATACATACACATTTGTATAACACACATACACCCACGTGTGTGCACAAGTGGGTTTAGGTAATACACGAATACGTTTCAGTGCTGCTGCACAGTAGAAGCCATTTTCCCCAGGTAATAAGATTCCACTTTAGTGAAACAATGAAGGGGTTAATAGCCAGAATGGAGGCCAGCTCACAAAGGAGGAAGGTAGAACAGGGAATGGAAGTTGGCTTAGGCAGTGAGAACCCTAGTGATCACCTCAGAGCCTGCCATCAGGCAAAACAGAAACAAACGTCAACAGGAATGTGCAGGGGAAGGATTTTGTCTGACAGGAGAAAGACTTCCAGGTCAGGAGCCAAATACCACTAACTCCCCAAGGCTCAAGCCACAAAATGCCAAGTGCTTATTGTGCGTGTGTGGAAAGTTTCTTCCTAAGGAAACAAAACTGCTTTAATGAATCACCGAAATCATTGGCTATTTAGCAAAATGTTCTGTAAAGAAAACAAAAATTCTACTGGCTATCTCCTTTAAATGAAGTGACTGTGTTGGGAAGAATGAAGGGGGGTAGGGAGGGTAGGAGGGAGGAAGGATAGGAGGGAGGGAGGGAAAGGTTAGATTCTGTAGAAAGAGCCACTGACCTATTTTTAAAAGAATTAAGTCCATAAAACCAACCCACTGATCTTTTATCCTTTTGAAAAGTTTACTTGTAAAACAGATATTGAAAAATATCTCAGAGATTTGTGGCTACTTCAGAAAATATGTGCTTCAGTGGGCTTAAGGAAAATACACCACAGAACTTCTCTATGTTAATCAAATTTTTCAACTAACTTTTATTCATTTGTGTGCATCTAAGTATGTGTGTGTGTGTGTGTGTGTGTGCTCATGAATGTGTGCCATAGTTTGTATGTGGAGATCAGAAAACATGTTGTAGGAGGTGGTGGATGCATAACATGAATGGAATTTAGGTCATGAGGCTTGGAGGTAAGTACCTGTAGATGCTAAGCCATCTCATGTTCCATCTATCTTTTGTTTCTCACATATGCACATATTTCCTACAGTGATTACTCATGATTTACAAATGTGAAAACTTCTTTCCATTGCTAGGATCACCTGACTAGTAACTGTTGTAGGATTAGAAATAATTTTTATGTGTCTACATGCCAGTGTATGTGAATCTCTACAAGATACATATTCTGACTGAAGAGACAAATAGAAGCGGACAGCATGGTATCATGTGTTGGCCAGGATAGTCTCCATCACATGTTCATTAGTGTAGTCTGCAGCATTTAGAAACAAAAATTAGAAACACCATCAAGCTGGGGCACTTGCCTAGAAGGCATGAAGCCCTAGGTTTGATCCCTGATACCACAAAGGGAAAATAGTTTTAGCTTAAAAATGGAAACATATCAAAGATATAGCTACAAAGTAACACAATAACCATA